AGTCCTTTCAAGGGGCAGGCCTCTGTTGCAGTTGAACCCATCTTTGCAATTATAAAATCCAAGTGCAGTACTTGGGTGGACGGGATGTGTCCCCTTTGTGAGGCTCTGGCAGCTCCTAAGGAATATTCTGTGGATATTGGATGGCTGCCTATGAACCATGTGTGAAGCTCCCTTCTATGGACTGCAAGCAGGATTGGAAGATCCCTCTACTTCTGAGACAAAATTGCAAAATTTTAACTATTTCCATAGGGTTGTAGTTTTCCCTTGTATTTCCTAATTGTCACTGATTACACTTATGTGGTGATATACTTATTCAGATCTGTTCATGTTAGAGACAGACTTTGTTTTGGGATAACTTTATGATCAAGGAGGGGTCAATAAGATGGCTCAATGGGTAAAGGTATATGCTTCACAAGCCTGGTGACCTGAGTTAGATATCTATAGTCTGCGTAAAGGTGGACGGAGAGAATCAAGTCCACACATATGCACTGTGACATGTTCATCTTGCATACACATATACACAATAATAAATTAATTACTTAGTAATAAACACAACCAGAGAGTTGTGAATAGCAGAGATGTCTGCCCTTCTTCCAGAGTTCACATCCCACAGGAACATAGAGTAGATACTTCATCACCAAGAGTCACCTGCAATCCTCTGGAAGCCTGTTCAGTAGAGGACACTGGGACAGAGAATATTCTTTGAGGGTACAAGATTTATTTAATAGCACGGTCAGAAATATAGACAGCAGCATGACAGGGGCTTTGAGCAGAGGAAATCAGGGCCCATTTGGCTCAAGTGGGTTCTCGTCATATGCCTCTGGAACAGATGGTGAACAGGTTGTGTGGCCATCAATATATCATCTTTGATGTAAATTTACATCCCAGATAAGAGATCCTAGCACCTGGGAGTCTGTTAGCTAGGTACTGACACTGTCTCATCAGGAGCCTGTTCTTATCTGTGAAAAGGGAAGGACAACTGCAGACACTATGGTCTGAATAGGAGCTGGAGTCTAACATTCCATTCCTATGCTTTCTGTTCCACACAGCATTACTTCTGACCAAGGACCTTACTTCACAGTGAAAAAACTACAGCAGGAACTGTGGAGAATGCTGCCTGCTAGCTTGCTGTCTCAAGGCTAGCTTACACTCAACTAGCTTTCTGCTTAGGGAGTGGTGCCACCCCACAATGGCTGGGCTCTCCTACATCAATTAATATCCAAGATGACCTCCACATACACAAGTCCACAGACCAGTCTGGTCTAGGCAGTTCCCCAGCTAAGGATTTCCTGTTAGATGACTGTGTCAACTTGATAGTTTAAGCTAACCAGGAAAGGGCCTCATCAGGGCTTTATCACAATCTGGCCCTCACCACAAACCCATCCAGAAGGGTTCCACACTGCCAGCGGTGGTTCTTGTGGAGGGAAGGAAGGAAGGAAACCTACACGAAGACCAATTAGAGAAAACTCCGTCCTTTAGTGGTTTTTTTTTTTTAATTAGCCACTGGGGAGTGGGAAGGAGAGACATGTGGTGGTCCCCCAGTATCCAGGAGGAGTCTAGGGGTTTGCTTTGTCTTCAAGTAAAGGATCAGGATTTAAAAAATGCTCCTCCATGTTTTTTACATTCATTTATGGTATAAATGACTATAAAGAGGATAACAGTTCTCTGCTACACATAGGAAAATGTCAGTGTGCCTTCTGTGGAAACCTATGTCCCATGAGGATGTTCAGATAATGATCTGGAATTTGTCTGCCCTGGAGGAGCCTGTCACAAAGGCAGAAAGGAAAAGCTAGAGTCTGAGCTGAACACAATGCTTTCTCTGAAAGTACCGGAAATAGGATGAGGTCAGCTATCTTGCAAAAGGCCACTTTAAAGCCCATTGCAGGTGGCTGCAGCTGAGCCAACTGGAGGAGGTGGTGGGGGCCTTGTAAGGTATGAAGTGCTGAGGCCCTTGGTGCTTTCTAGTGCCTTTCAGGTGCAAAGTGACAAAGCATCTGTTGCTGTCATTGTCACCACACTCTGCTGTTTGGCTCTGCTAGACGAACATGCTAATGAAATTTCAAGGCACAGAATCTGCTTCAAGGGGCTGCACCTAACTCTGAAAAAGGGCCCAGAGAAATACCTGAGCAAGCCCAGTCAGGGAGTCAAGGGACAGGGCATGGGACACGGGGGGAGTAATCACAGAGTGTGTATTTCAAGCTGCGGCTTCCCTATTTAACTTATCACAGAGCTAGAGGGGAGGTAAGTATTCATATTGCAGTTTCAAAAAAAAAAAAAAAGTGGCTACAGGCCAGTGATTATACACTGTTTTCTGAAAAAAACCTATGGAGGAAAAGGGGACTGTAATTAGTTCTTCAGCAGAAAGGAAGAAAGAAAGGAGGGGAAAGAAAGGAAAGAAAAAGAACAAAGAGCTGAATAGAGGTGTGACAAAACTGGTCAATATCCAAGCAAGATGATCATAGCTAGGAAAATAGAGTGGGGGTTGTGGATGAATTATGGGAGGAGATTATGAATAATGTGTGAGAAAGGGCCTGTGAGGAAAACAGGTTTTGAAAGAATTTTGTTTTAAAGACAGACTCAGCCTGATGGCCCTAGCCTTGCCACTTTCTCCTATGATTCCCAGAGGTCAGTACTGATGAGAAATGTACACGAATTTTAAGAGTGAATGTGGCCCTATCACACTAAGAAGAGGATTAATGAGTCTATCAAGAGAAAAATCCAAGAAGGTTCTGGAACCTGATCAGCACTGGACATTCATTGAGACTGAAACAGGAAAGGGGGCAAGAAAACTATAAGTGAGCGGGGAGAAAGCATGCAGAGTTCACAGTGATGGGTCTGAAGCATAACTGCGTCCACGTTTGTTTGATCAGTACTGGGCTTCTGTCTATCGTCTTCCAATTTGCCTATCCATTCATTCACCCAAACACCTAACTATCCATCCATTTATCTTTTCTTACATCTATTCCCCTTCCATCCATTCATTCACCACTAGTTTTCATCCCCTGATCACTCTCTAATTCACCAACTCTCCCATCCATCCATCCATCCATCCATTAAATGACCAAACAACATGGGATGGAGATTATTATGACTATGTGATCACACCGGTATTTTCCCAAATGACACTAAAAATTTAGTGTTTCACCCATTACTGTTTATAAAGGAGCTTAAAATAGTGAAGTTCCTTCTAAACAGTGGCTTTACCTCTGAGAATTTTAGAAAGACTATGTAATGTGACATGATGTTACCATGTATGTGGGTTTGGGGGACCCTCGTCAATGCTGACGGAAAGCTGTATCATGTCTTGAGTCCCACACACTGGGCAGGAAGGCTCCACACTGTTCCATCGGGTGTGACTGCCTGCGCACCACGTGGGTCTCCCGTTCTATCAGGCAGAAGTCTGGGAAACACAAGAGAGGAGTCCCGCTGACCTCTACCCACAGCTCTGCTCACTAGGGTCTGACCTCAGCAGAACCCCCAACCCCCTTTTGATTCTCACCTCTTCTCAGGTGGCCTGTTCTTGCTCTTGCCCCACTGGCTCTCCTTAGAATGTGCTGCACAGAGATGCAGGCTCAGCACTGTGGCCGGCAGGAGCCCACATATGCTTTTCACGGCCGCTTTGCTTCTGAGTCTGTTTAACTCATGAAGGAGACCTTAGGGCAGCACCCTACCCTCCCTCACCCACACAGAGGCTCCAGCCATCTGTACTGGAGGCCTGGCCTCACTGTTTTGCTTGGACCTTGTGATTAAACAGACCTCATCCTGTCAGAGAGAGAATGGTATCAGTGTGGGAAGTGCTGCCTTAGGACCTGGAGCCAAGAGCTGCTGTGCTCCTGCCTACGTCATGCCCTGCTCCACAAGAAACAGGGTTCCACCACCTGCCTGTCCTTCCAGACCTTCCAACTCCAGCCACAGCATTTAGGCCCTTTCTAGACCCTTTCCTTGATGCCAGACAGCATTCCATAGCTGTCCACATGTGTGGTCATGTGAGCGTGTACATGTGTGTCTGGGTACTTATATGTTCACATCTATGGATCAATATGCTCACAATGTGTCTGTGTTCCCACATTTATATGTCTATGGGTGAGTGTGACTCTGTGTACACATGTGTCTGTGTACACACCAATGTGTAAAGTCAATTTTCTGAGAATCGCCATAAAGCTGGTGTTTCAGAACAACAGGTTGTTGTTCAACACTGCAGTGAGTGGACACTCCCTGCCAATGGAGGACACTGAGCACATCTTCCACAGGAAAACCATAAGACTGTATGAACCCCAACAGTCTGTATTAGAGGCCTTCTGTGCTGTGTAGAGGCCTTGGGATGCTGGTAATCTCAATCAGTGACAATGTACCTGGGACTGGGGAGGTTTGAGCAGGAGGGTCCATAGGTTACAGAAAACTTGCTGGGTTCACATTCCCCCATGAGAAAACAAGGCTTGACCTTAGCTGGCCTCTCTGGATGCTCAGGGCAAAGTCGTGGAATGATCTAAGAGGTAGCACTGTTTAGCAAGGCTGCTTCTGGAGCTGGGTGCTTCTCCACAGGCAGCCCCTACATTTGTTCAGCCTGCAGAGAGAGGTCACAACACTGTCTCCTGCCTTGGAAACAAATTCTCAGTGTCCTATTGTCTGTCCTGATGGACCTGAGAACCTAGCCACAGGCCTGGTCTCATTCCTACCTCAGTTTTCACCTGCACACAGATTCTGTTGGTCCTTACCCTGTCATTGTCAAGGTCTCTTCCTCATCACATTCACTGCTTAGGACCTGGGTTTTGGGGTGACACCTACAGAAGGGCCCCAGGTCTTCAGCTTCCATGCCTGCACCAAATAGGGCTGGGTGCTTCCATCTCTCCTACACACTTCTCACCCAACCTCCTTTCATCAGACCACAAAGGGGTGGAGCCACGAGACCACCTAAGCGGCCACATACTCAGGCAGAGTCACCAGGTACTGCTCAAGCTCTTTATTGAGAAGCAGGGGAGGAGGATGAGGGAAGAAAGATGAGAAGATGGCTGGGCTAGCAGGGCACTCTTTCCATGTCCCACAGGGCAGACATTCTGGTGCTGCTGCCTTGGCTTCTTTGTAGCCTTGGCTCACCATGCTCTAAAAAGGAGGGTAGAGTAAGTGACAGGTTATGGTGGAGGAGGAATGATGGGTGCTTTGGGGCAGCATCACAGGCTCTCAGAGATGCAGAGCTAGCCTGCACTGAATAAGGAATTCCTTTCAACTGAGTCCTCAGGAAAGCTCTGTCCATGCAGTGGTGACCAGGCAAGGGTGTGACTAAGTGGGGGCCTTAAAGGGCTCTGTGACCCTACTTTCCCAGACCTTTCTCAGATAGACCCAGGATTTTCTGCTTCATTATCCAAGTGCTCTCATGGCATCCAGAGAGTGCTCATGGACACAGGAGACAGTGTCCATGACACATGACACTGTGACAGCAGCACGTGGGAAGCCTAGAAAGAGGCTCACAAGGGCGAGGCACTTGCTGGATGGTGGCAGTTGGGGAGCTTCATCTGCCTACCAGTAGCCACACCACCAGCCTATCTCACTGATGGAATGAGGAGGATAAAGAAACCTTAAATGATCCAGGAAGGAAGCTGAACACACACGAGCCTTGGGACATAGAAACTGGGTAATTCCTGGCTGCAACTGAAGGCTTCCAGGTGGATGTTGAGGCCCTGTTGAATCCCAAGGCTCTTGTTTCCTTCAAGGGTCACTTACCCTAATCATTCTCCGGTTCACATTTTTCTGTAGAAAGCAGAAAACCCAGAGATGAGAATGAGACCTGGACAAGAGCCCATCATGTCTATGGCTCATATCCTCCCATGACCAAGATCTGGAGCAGTGAATGCAGTGTCCATGTTAGGGACAGGGGACATGAGAATGACAGAGTTACAGGGACATGGGACAGAGAGGGGAACATGGTTTGTATGCTTTTTTACCCATCTGCTCAGGTATGATCAGGTTCTCTGGTACAAGTCTCTTTTGCTGTGTGAACTCCTTAAATTCCTCCAAGGCCTCCAGGTTTTCCTCCGGGTCCCTCCCTGTGAAAGAGGGTTGGGTGAGCAGAGGGAGGTGTCTGCACATGTTTGTAAGGAGCCAGTGCCGCAAAGACAGGGGCACCGCCCTGCACCAGTGGCTTCATCATGGAATAGCCAAGAGCAGGAGAAGAGGAAATATGGAGGGTTGTCAGTGAACTTGGGAGACAGCTGGCCCTGGAAACTGAAAGTGTTCCAGTGGAGGCCTGTAGCATTTTGCCCCTGACCTGAAAGGTCCTCATGTTTCAGAGGCACTGGGCTGAGAAGACTTCTACTGTCCTCATGTTATAAGCCTTGCCTGACACCCTGAGACCCCACAAAGAAGCAAGGACAGCCTCTGTTAAGAGGCATATCTACCTCTGTTCTGACTGGCCCCTGCCAGACCCGTTGGTCACTACAGTGGAAGCTCAGCAAGGTGAGCCTGGCCAGCCAGCAACATGTACCCAGCTATCACCTGCATGAGAGGAAATGCTATTCCTTCATATGTGGGGCCTAGAGGAACAGTGGGACTAGGCATGGCTGTGTTGAGTGTGGGGGCAGAGGGTTACCTATGAGCTGGGTCACTGTGAAGCTCATTCCGTCCACCTCCCCGTCACAGTAGAGCATGCAGTGGTTCTTCACAGAAGACAGCTGCACCTGCACATGGCTCTTCCCCTCAACTGTGGAAGCCCAGGAAAGATCAAGGTTAGCTCCACCCTGCAATCATCCACATTCCCCTTCTGACTGTCACCCTAGCCTCTAGTCACAGATTCTATGTGACCACCCTGGCCTGAGTGTCAAGGACTAGGGTTCCTAGGACTCATCTGTGATCCCTCCTGGGGCTTTCCAGGAAACTCTCCCTTCCAGAGGCTGCAGCCCCCCATCCCTGGGCTGATGGTACTCACAGGCAGTGTACTGGCCCGGCACATCAGTTTTCTTCAAGATGGTGGTCACTTCAAGACACTGGCCATAGATCCTGGAATCAGAAACTGTTTTGCAGTGGCCCTCTTAAACAGAACCCTCATGCTGACTGGGGTCCACCTTTCTCATCCCACCTCTGGAGCTCTTCTTTCCAAGTCAGGGCGATTTTTAAAAACTGCCCGTTGAGAAGTAAGAGGCCAGGCAAGAGACCAACCAACCATGGGAGCCACAGACACTCACATATGTGTGAGAGAGAGCTCCATGTCCCCGTTGCTCAGCTTTAAGACAAGTAAGGGAGAGACCTTCTCTATCGGGATCTCATCTTTCATCGCCAAGGCCTTCACGAACCACTTCCCAGAAGACTAAAAAGAAGAATTCCCAATTTGCCAGATGCCTGCCCACCCTCCCTGTGGGATATGTGCCCTCTACTGTCTGACTATCCATCCCACCACCAAAACACAGAAAGCTCACATGATGGACACCTGCTTACTCCCTGGGTCCTAAGACCTTCTAGTATATTTTCTCAGTCTCCACCCCTGAGCCCAGGGAGGCCTGAACATGCACTGGGGATCCCTTAACTCCAAATTGGTCTACTCTCTTTAGTTACAACCTGTGATACAGGTCAGATTGGGGTCCTCCCTGAATTCAGAACACTGGCCTTCCTGCACCAGTAAGGGCTGAGACTACCCTGTGCTCCAGCCCTGACTCACGTTCTCATTATTCAAAGTAAGGGGCGAGACGTCCTGGGCCTGCAGGGCAGCAACAAGACAGAAGCTGACAGTCAGGAAGAGCGTCGTCATCTCAAGGGTCTGCAGTCACAGCCAATCCACAGGTCACTGGGGCTGGAGAGGCTGCACTGGCCCCTCACTCAACTGCCCTTTATACAGCCCCATGCAGTGTCCTTGGGGAACTTGGCAAAGAGAAAGCAGGTCCTTCCGAGTTATGTCCACAGCCAGCTGGCAAGGGGGATGTCAGTGTCTTGTATAACAGCTTGTTAAGACTTCAAGAGATCAGCAGGACACAGGCCACTCCAAAGTGGAGGCCACTGTTTGGAGTCCAAACAAGCTGAGGGAGAATTGGGAATTCAGAGGAAAGGCCACATGAAAAGCCTCCACATAGTTTGAGATTCTTGTGGACAAAATTAGAAGAGTCCTATGTCCTTTCCCAATCCTCCCCACAGTCACCTTTTATCTCTTGTCTGAATCTGGAGAACTGCAAGGTCGGTCCACCCAGCAGTTAAGGGGAAGGAGGTCAGAATGGAGAGAGAGCAGGATTTCAGACCCATTCAATCATGTGTGCATCAACTCAGCCCCATGAGCCACGAACCTGCTGTCCTGTTGGGAACTTTGCCCACGGGTGTCCAGCAGGACCCAGCTTTTGACTCAGGGCTCAGCCTGGTCACTCCCCATGCTCTCCCATTCCTGACCTTCTCCTCCTCAGAGCACTGGCAGGAGCCGCCTGAGGCTGCTATAACAAATCCCCTCCAACCAGGTCTTCAACACCTCACATCTGCTCCCCTCAGCCATGAAGGCCGGAAGTTGCGTATGAAGACTAGGCCAGAACAACACTCCTCTAGGCTCTGGGTAGGCTCTTGGATGACTGACAGCTCCCCATGACACTCACTCTGTGGTTTCCTTACCCAAGTTCTGCCTGTATCTACCTAGCCTCTCCTTAGCCTCAAATGCCCCTCTGACTGCCCGTGACAAGAATTTAATGATTATGTATACAGTATTGTGTCTGCATGTATGCCAGCACTCCAGAAGAAGGCACCACCAGATCTCATTATAGATGCTTGTGAGCCACTATATGGTTGCTGGGAATTGAACTCAGGACTGCTGGAAGAGCAGCAAGTGCTCTTAATTTCTGAGCCATCTCTCCAGCCCAACAAGGAACTTGTCAGGAGATTTAGGCCACCACAATTCTTGATGATCTCATTCAAATTGTTAATCTCTGCAACAAGACCCCATTGTCCAAAAAAAAAGACACAGTCACATGTCACTGGACCACACTGTCTTATGAGGCCGGTACTCAGCCTATCAGTACCTGGACCTCTCATGATAGTTCTTAGTGGTTTCTTCTTGTCCTTGGATATTGGTAGGACATAGGCTCTGAGAGAGAGGACCAGGCCATAGTCACCGTTGCACCCCAAAGGCTGCTCTCACCTGGTCCTGATCCTTTCAGTCATGCAACACCCATGCCCCAGACTGTTCCTACTGTCTATGCCTGTGTAAGAGCCTCAGTTACCATGCTAGTTTTAGGTGGCATTCACTGTGTGCTCTCTGCCCTGAAGCTGTCCTGCTCTCTGGGAAGGCAGTTGTGTTCTCTTAACTTGAACAATGAAGGATCCTAGCTTGGCCACCTGTCCTGAGACCCGAGACTGACCCAGCAACCAGCAGAGGATGCAACATCCTCCCAGTGGTGTCTTTGTGCCCCTGGGCCCAGGGCTTGATCTCTACATGCTGTCATTGACCTTGGGGAACAGACTACAAGGTGGTAGCTTTACCTAGTCATTATCTGGTGGAAAGTTCAACTGTGCAGCCCTTCCAGGTAGGAAGGCACAGGGCCAACACCTGTCATCTTCGGGACGAAGAGGCAGGCCCCAGCTTCTGAGTGGCAGCCTTGGTATTCCTTTTGCACTGACCTTCTCCTGGTGACAGACAGGCACCTGCCAATTTCTAGAACTTGAGAGTACCAGGTGTTGTTCTGGAATCTGAAAGCTATCCACGGCTGCCCAACTGTCATGAGCCAAAATACTCAAAGACATCAGAGGGGAACATGACACAGTTGTGTTCATTGCTCAGTAGGGTTAATGTGAGGGAAGCTTGGGTTAAGACCCAGCAGGTCACAGAGGGACAGGCAATGTTGTAATGTCCCTTGCATACACAGTGAAGGCAGGAACACTAGAAAGCTGTAGACACTTTTGTCCCCCACCAGTCTCATCCTTTAAAGCCCATAAAGGAACCAGAACTGCAGGTTTCAGAGTAGAAAGGAGATTTGGAGCAATGTGGGGCTGATGTCACAGATTCCTGGTGCCTCTAAATTCCTGTCATGGATAGTGGCCTTCGTCAAGTCCCAGTGTAGGTGGGGACTTCAGAGCCTTACCAGTTCTGTGGACCCCACACTGACTGGGGTGGATCCAAGTTTTCCATGACGTAGACCACCATAGGTCTGTCTTTTGCATGGATCAACACAGCTCCATGGCCACCATGAGGTTTAGCCAACTCCAGACTCAGATCTAAGCTGAATCAAGTATGGCTTCAGAGATATTGAAACAGATTAGGGGATGCTTGTTAGGTGCTAAGTACTGCTAAATATTGTTTGAATATTAATGTTAATGGTAGATTACTAATATAAGCACTCTTTCTGATGTTAATTTCCCTTTGAAAATGTTGGTGCAGGAAATGTTGGTGGGGGAGATTTGATTCCCTAAACAGTTGTTAGACTCTTCCCTGATATCCTCGCTGCCTTGAACAAAGGATTATCAATCAAGCAGCCAACCAGATGTCATGTGGAACCTACTCAACAATTGCAGCTGCTTGTTGCTGAAGCACAACTCTGGTTCCAGAAGGTGAGGGCCCAGCCATGCCTGTTTGATGCCAGACTTTCCTCCAACGATGTCCACCCCAACCAAAGGAAAAGCAACTAGGAGGGGGAGAGTTATAACTGGTAGAGAGGAATAGTGTCTTGCCTGGGACACTATGATCCTTCGTGTGCATGAATGTTTGCTGTGATGGTACAAACCCTCCTTTTCCAGATACATTGGTGGATTGTTGAGCTCCTTTTGTGAACTGACTAAGAGGTCCCTTACTGTGCTGCCCTGATGTGGCCGCTGCCTTATGTTTCTATACTGGGTCCAATAAAAATCTTCTTGAGGGGCTATCAGGATGACTCAATGGGTAAATGCATTTGCCATTAACCCAACAACCAGAGTGTGATCCATGGAGACACATGGGAGGCAAGAACTGATTGCCAAAAGTTGTCTTCTGACCTCCACAGGTGTAACATGGTACATGTACAAACCCCTACACAACAAATATAATGAAATAAAATAATGAGAAAGGCAAGCAGAGATATGGGGAGATGTCTCATTGGGTAAAGTACTTGCCTCTAGGTACAGAGACCTGAGGTCAGTTCCCAGAACTCATGTAGAGGCAAGGCAGAGTGGGCAGGTGACAATCACCTGTATTCCCTCTATTCCGGATCCCTGGAGATCACTGGTCAGCTGACCTAGCCTTCTTAGCAAAGTTTCAGGTCATTGACAAGCTTTTTCTCAAATAAAAGATGAAGGGCACCTAAGGAATGATACCCAGTGCAGTCCTCTGGCCTACACACACAGAAATACACTCACAGACACACAGAAACACACTCAGACATACATGCACAGAGACGCACATGCAGAAACACATACACACAGAGACATACTTACAGACACACACAGACACATGCATACACACTTGCAGACCATACACACGCACAAATAAACAAAAACCCAAACAGACGACCACTTAGGCTCCTCCCCATCACTAGCAGAAAGGATGAGATGCAAAAGAAGGAATAGCCAGCAGCTTTGAGGGTTGCCAGACAAAGCCATGGCAGCTGAGAAGCAATGAAGAGGCAGCGAAAACAGGAACTGGAGCCACAGCAGAGATGACAGCCAAACCTAAGACATTGATGATGACAGCAGGAGCCAAAGCCAAAAAGGAACGGCTGCCATCCCAGGTAGCAACAGTGACGGTGGCCATGCAAACAAGAAGAAAATATAAGGTGCTGGTAGATGGCCAGGACAGAACCAAGGCTGTAAAAGGAAAGATGAGTCAATAGAGAGCTTCGGTTGAAGGACACAGAGCTATAAAAGCTGGAGAAAAGAGACTGAAGACACTGGGGACAAGCAGAGTTCTGAGAACGGATGGACTTTCAAGGAGAAGGGTACCAGGGACACAGCTCTCGAACCACTGTCAACAGATGGAGAATCCCGTATTTCTGGGCCTACACAAAGCTGTCACACATCACTGTAGGGCCCAGGGTCCCAGTAGCCAAGACCAGCATGAGAGCTCTAACATTGGACAGTGCCACTCGCTCCTGGGCCCAGCCATCTGCAGCTGCCACCCACTGCCTTCTGAAGCTGAGAAATGAAATATTGCCCAAGGACCAGCTTAGAAGAGTTTCTTGACATCCACAATTTCTATCCACACAAAGCTAAAGGACCCCAGCCAGATGACAGGTGACATTACCAGACCCAGGGACAACCTTGGCAGCTCCTGACCTCAAGGAGGATTCTTGGATACACAGGAGTCAGGCAAGTATATTGGGACTACAAGTTAAAGAAGCCAAAGGACATGACTCACACCAACACAGCCTTGAAGCCTTGGCCTGGAGATCATCTAGTCATCTCGGCATGCCTGTGTTCTAGTAAGATGCAGGGGTCTGCTGCTGGGGTCCTCAGGCTCCTACAGTCTCAGTTCTTTCCAGGCCCCTCTAGGCCGTCTTCCTGGATTAGAATCATCTAAATAGGGGCTACAGTTTGTGCATGGGACAGGTTTCCTGTTGCTGTGAAGAGAACATTTCCAATGAAGTGACCAGAAGCCACATGGAGACATCATTTCAGCCTCCTCCTGCTGACACACTGCCTGTTGTCAGATGTCCACGCACGTTAGAGCTATAAGTTGTGCTATGTTCTACACTGTACTCTTAAAATATAAAATACACTGGCACAGACTGTCGATAGTAAACCTGTCTAAAACTCCCAACACGTGTGGAGAGGTTCCCACAGTTACTCTGTTCAGTCTGCTATCGATGATACAGGTAGTTT